AGAAAGTGCTGCTGGGAAGAATAGGAGACTGGAGATGGGATGGAGGGGTGTGAGTGGGGAGAGAAAGGGCGGAGAGCGATTGAAAGAGATGATGAGAGACTACTTCTTAAAGAAAAACGGGAAATGTGGAGTGTGCTTTTGCTGCTGATGCTGCTGCTGCTCCAGCTTTTGCTACTTAGCCCACTTCCCAGACAGCCCACACACACGCCACTTTCCATCTCACCACCAAACACATAGCCACGCTGTTACCCAGGCACCCCTAGCTCCTTCTCTCTCACCTGACGTGGTAACCACAGGGTTGCGGTCGAGTTTCTTGGCCATGCCATTGAGCAGCTCCTTGAGCACGCCGTCAAACTCGTCAAACTCCACAAACCCACTCTGGTCCTCGTCCGCCTTGCTGAACACCCGCGCACACAGCTCCTCCGCCTCCCCTGGCGTCAGCAGCTGAACCTCGAATGAAGACGCGTATTTCTTGAACCCCAGGGTGATCTCGGTGCGAGAGAGCCGTCCTCGTTTTAGGATGTCCCACTCCATGAACAGCTGGCTCGCCACGGCGTCAAAGCGGTTGCGATCGCCCGTGAGCTGCGGGGGAGGATGGGATCAGAAGGGGAGAGGATGGGAGGGGAGGACGGGGGACATGGAGCAAGCGGAGCGGATTGTAATCGTCTGCCTTTAGTTTGTCTTGTTTCAATGGCTGGGTCAGCCCCTCTGTCGGTCTCCTTGGCCCTCATCCTCAGGTGGTTCTTCAAGTCGACAGAAGATGTCTTTGTTGGGTTCTTGGTTCTTTTTTTCTATGGTTGGGTCAGTCTCTTTGGTCCCCACCCACCCGCCCACCCACCCCTCGATCGACCCACCTGGCGCACGAAGGAGCCGGTGAAGACGGGTTTCTTCTCGGCTGACAGAATGATGGGGCGCTAACACCACGTTTGCCGTACTGCAAGGTAGTTGGCGCCCCAAATCACACACTAGCCACGCTGGTAAGCAGGAGCCTCTCCATTGACCCACCTGGCGCACGAAGGAGCCGGTGAAGACGGGTTTCTTCTCGGCGGAGAGGATGATGGGGCGGCACGCAAGCTCCTCTGAGAGCTCCTTCACCATGTCCCTCAGCATCAGCTCAAACTCCCCCTCGTCCACCTGCAGGTCGCTGCCTGCGTACTTGCCTATCACTCTTGACAGCAGCGCGTCCACTTCCATGTGGGCTGTGATGTGAAGGGGGGAGAATGAAAATGGAAAGTGGTGGCGAGAGGGGAGGATTTGGACTCCGTTGCTCGAGTGGCTGTTGAGAAAGCCAGAAAGATCGCTCACAAAGTAACGAGAAAAGCCTTCTTTGTCTCACCTGAGGGCGGCACGAGGCCGAGGGAGACGAAGGCGGGCTTGAGCTCGAGGCGAGAGAGTGTGCCGCTGCCGTCCTCGTCAAACTCCTTGAAGATGTCACACGCGATCTCCTTGAACTGCTGCGGGTTGTCAGCCAGTTCCCGCAGCACCCCGCCATCGTACACCTCCACCACCACGGGTTTGGCTGATCAAGGAGGGGGAGGGGAGCATGGGGAGGGAAATAAAGTCCTTCACCTGATCGCCTGGCGCTGAGGGTTGTCCGCTAGCTCCCGCAGCACCCCCCAGTTGTGCACCTCCACCACCACGGGCTTCGCTGATCAAGCAGGGAAGCGGGGGGATGGGGGGGAAGTGAAATCCTTGAACAGATCACCTCACCGAGTTGTCTCCCAGGTGTTTCAGCACCCGCCGTCGCACACTTCCACCACCACCGGCTTGGCTCATCAAGGAAGGGGTGTCCCTTCCTGCTAGTGAGAAGTGAGAGAATGGGGAGGGAAGTGAGAATGTCAGCTGCTCGCCTCTCCCGCTGTCTGCTAGTTCCCTCAGCAACCCCCCTCGTACACCTCCACCACCACCGGCTTGGCTGGCAGAGAGGAACGAGGAGGGGACGGGCGAACATGGGGGTGGGGAGGAGGGAACAGGGAGCAAGGAGCAAGGAGAAAGGAGCACGGAGCACGAAGTGAATTCCTTGTGGTTCTTTTCAAGATGTCGCTTGCCGTCTCCTTCCGACCAGATCCATGCTTCGTGAACGCCTCTCAGGCACTTGAACTGCTTCTTGCTTTCTGAAGCGAGGCCCTCGGGTACTACTAAGGCAAAGGGGGAGGGGGGTGGATCTTTGGGGGACGATCCCTGGAACGAGTCTCCACTCACGTTCCGTAAATCCTGATCAGCGAATTTTGCACGAAGAAAATGCATATCGGGTCGATTGCTGTGAGGAGTGTGAGAGTGAGATGGTGAAATGTTGTTCCTGATGCACGAATCACAATAGGAACAGCCACCGTACGCCACTGCACGGGCACGCGCCACGTCAACATACGTCACGTCACCGTATGCTCGTCGTGGATTGCGTTCCTGGGGCATACGAGAACGTTTAATTTGGTCTTGGTGCAGAAGTCAATAAACGCTCGATTCACATTTGTTTTACCTCGCATTCGATATGTCTCACATTGGCGCTGTCTCGTTTTGATGCGATTATTAAAAAAAAAATCTGAAAATGTCGATGAATGTCACGGTGGGAAGCAGTGGGAAGGAGAGACCGGTGGTGCTTACTTTCGAGCTCCTGAGAGACGGATTTTAAGAACTCTTTGGAAATCGTGATGAACGACTCTCGGTCGACCTCCTCCTTTAAGTTGTCCGCCATTAGCGTCGTGAACAATCGATCCACTAACTCGTCTCCTTCCGCCGTCGTTCCCGCAGGCGGTAGTCCTAGGAGCGTCCCGAATCGCACTAATGCGGGTTTAAGCTCCGCGCGGGAGAGCTTCCCGCTCTTGTCGTCATCCAGGAGATCGAAGTACTTGTTCAAAAATGCGCTAAATTCCGTCTCGTCGTTGAGTAGCTTCTTAATCTTCTTCCCATCGAGATAGCTTCCTTTTGACAGTGATCGCTGTAAGAACGCTGGCTTTTTGAATGCCTTCATGGCGACAACCGAGAGTGAAGGAGAGGGTAGTGAGAGGGAGTCCGCTCTTAAAAAACAGCGCGATGAAGCGTCAGATTAGGGAGAAAAGCACCTTGAATCTGTATATGGAAGTAATCAGGCAGACTGAACGTTATTATCAGAACTCGAGGTAGAACTAAAATATGTGTGACATGGCACCTGACAGGCTTTTTCTGGTTCAGTACGATTAAGCAAGTTTCCACACGGTAAAACGCGGTTCATACTCCTGCACTCTCTGGACCGTAACGCACCCGACGAAATCGAGGTGAATCGGAAACTAGGGATTGGCTGGGGGACGCCTGCTGGACTGGAAATCTCGATGTTGTCGAGAAATGTGGAAGGCAGCAATGTCCTAAACGGTGACAAGCTCCAACGGTGCAAAAGCCGGTGGCCGAGTCGACTTCACACCGTACTTAACCACTCAAAACAAAGCGTAACCATACCAGGGTATTCTCAACCATCTCAACCAAGGTACCTGCTGACGTAGCTTCTCAATCACTTGCCCTGTTAGGCCACACCCCTTCAGCCAAGGAGGTCAAGTGCCCAGGTGGTAGCCAATGGATGCTTGCCAGGTCTGTCAGCCGCGTGAAATTAAAGGTGCCACGCGAGCTTTTTGTCGTTTTCGGGTGCCCCTACATCATGGCCTGTGGTCCCAAGGGGCCATGCCAGCCATGTCATGCTGGCACCGTACGGTCTATTCTGCTGGCGGAAGCGCATTTTGGGTGCTTGACATGACATTTGTAGGCCAGTCCTCCTCAGTGGTTGGATATGCCAGAATTTAAAATCATACGCTTTACAAAGCTGATTTTCTTCCAGTAGGAGATCATTCCGCTACATTCCTGTCACAGCAAAATCGTCGATGCTTAGCACAAAATTGAACGCCAACAATGTGAGATGGTGACAATGACACCATTTCACGGGTTTCAGAACGGTATGTCATACATTCTCGTGGTTTCGAGTAGTGCAGTGAGATGCAGGGACTTCAGAAAAAAACCACAGCCGTTCACTTCAGTCCACCACATGTGTCGCGGTCCGCAATACCTATCACCTCTTCTTCGGCAGATTCTGTGAGTTCCTCTCTTCACTGGCCCGACAATGTCGCCGGCTCTCTTCAAGCACTCTTGGCTGTGGAACAACCCCCCTTTTTAACATCACATCGCATTCCGATGAATTTGACCACGATACGGTGTCACGTGGCGTTACACTCGCTCTCGCCGTTACAATCTCGTTATGAGACGTCTCAAAAACCGTTACGATTCATCGAACCGCAGCGCACATGCCGCTGCTCTTGCGCCCAAGAATCGACGCCGCAGCGACGATCGGCACCGAACGCGGAGAGGCGGCTGTTCAACGGCGAAAAGCGTCCCACGTCGTTTCTCGGATGGAGATCGCAGACCTCGCGATTACTGAATAAGTCGCAGCCACAGTGTCGCAGCCGTCGCCGTCGCTGTCGCCGGGGAGAATGGCAGGCGGCCGCGACGGCAGGGGACGGAGAGCGGACAGGAGGAGAAAGGGGAGGTGGGGGAAGGGGAAGGGGAGGGGGAAAGGCGGATGGCGGATTAGGGTTGGCGCGGAGGGTGGTTGAGGAGCTTCCGGATGGGCGGAAGCACGATTTCGCTACAGTGCAGCACTGCGAGGACTTTTGGCTAATAGTGAGGCACCTGGTAAGGAGGCATTTGGTTGAAACGCACTCTGTCTGTCTTACGCAAGTACTGAACTCATTTCCCTCTGAATTCCTCCCCATCTTCCTTCCACCAATTCTTTCCCTGCTCTCGTAGATTCACTCCTGCTCCCCTTAATTCCTTTTCTCCTCTCAACCCCCCTGCTCCCCACAATCACTGCTGTTCCGCCCGATCACCCCTGCTCCCCCCCAATCCCCCCTGCTCCTCCAAATCTTCCCCCTTTTTCTCGATCCCCCCTGCTCCCCCCAGTCCCCCCCTTTTTCTCAATCGCCCCTGCCTTCCCCAGTACCCCCCCTTTGTCTCGATCTCCCCTGCTCCCCTCCTTGCGCTAGATGACGTTGGCATTCCACACGCCTGCTCCAGGCGCAGATGGCTCTTCAGGTGATTCTTCAGGTGAAATGTCAAGTGGCACATCAGACAGCGACAACCTGAGTGCTGCGGAGAGGCTGCAGGCGCTGAAGCTGAGGCTGCAGCAGAAGCACAGAGCAGCAGAGGGGACAGGAGCAGGTGGGAAGATTAATAATGGCCATGGGGGAACGAGGATGGATGATGCTTATGGGAGCAGCAGAGGGGGTGATGGGGGTGGGAGGAGTGATGGGAGCAATGAAAATTATAGGAGCGATGCTGCGAAGAAGAGATACGATTTCGTGCAGTATCCACTGATTCGGCTTATTCACCGCACTCGGGACTGCTCGCCTGTCACAGAAAAGCTCCTGGGCAGCGTGAGTTTGGATCTAGTGGCGGATATGGCCGGCAAACTCACTGACGGCACCGGCAGCATCACTGCAGTGGTGGCCCCCCAGCTGGGGGCCCTGCATGACGTCATCCTCACCACTGAGGAACCTTCTGAGAAGCTTCCGGCTTCTGCTGGAGCTGTGGGGGGAGCAGTGGGGGGCGCTGTGGGGAAGATGATGGGGGGGAAGGTGGGGGAAGGGGTTGGGGGACTGGGGGGGACATTGGGGGGAGCGCTGGGGGGAGCGTTGGGGGGATTGATGGGGGGAAGGCGGGCTGCTGTTCCTGCTGGTAAGTCGGTGCGCAGTAGAAGAGGAGGGGTAAATGGGGCTGACAGCAACAGCAGCAGTACAGGTGGCGGTGGCAGCAGCAGTGGCAGCAGCAGTAGTCGGGGCAAGGAGCTGGACGGCATTCTTCGTCCTACTAATGGGCCGCGCGTGCACGTGCTGTGCAACGCACGTGTGGTGCAGATGCCGAGGGAGCGAGTGGAGCAGCTTGAGACGTGCCCCTGCCTGCCGGAAATAGCCGTACCTGTCATGGTTAGTACCCTGTAGGTGACTTTTGAGACGTCTCAAAAGTTGCCTGCCAGGGATAGGTGTACTTGTCATGGTGAGTTCCCTGTAGGTGCTATGTGTGTGCTACACCTGCTAGTGAATGGGTGCATTTGTGCAACATACGTGTGGTTCAGATGCCGAGGGGGTGAGTGGAGCAACTTGAGACGTGCCCTTTCTTGCCTGGGATAACGCTCCCTCTCACAGTAGGTAGGTAGTATGGGTGGTGCTGCAGTGGTAGGCACTGGTTAGTCCATCACATATGGAGGCGGAGTTGTTGGCTGGTGTCTATACTTACGAGAATTCTCGAAAGTGATTTCAAGATGGACCAGCCACTTTCAACTCCGCCTCCATTGTCCCCTTTCAATTGCCTCCAACTACACATGTTAGCCCAACTCAGAATCTATTCCTGGCCCTCGCATCCCTTCCGTTACCCTCTCACTGTGTGCGTGTCATGCCTCATCATGTGAACCTACTCCTCGTCACTCATGGTTGGAAGGGCAGCAGTGCCAGAGAAAAGCTTTATCAAGAAAGAAAGAGAGTAAAAAGTACCCTCAGTGCGTGTCTCTCTTGCTCCCTCCCACACCCCTCTTCCCCCCATCCACTTTCGCCGTCCCCTTTTTTCCCCCCTCTTATACCTCCCCTCTTCTTCCCTCCCCTCTCCTCTCCCCCTCTCCTATCCTGCAACAGAGACCCCCGTGGGTGCGTGTGATGGCACACAACGAGAACCAACAGCAGCATGTGTATCTGGTATGTGTAAACAGTATGAATTGAGCTGTAGCATGCGGTATGCAGCGACTTTTGAGTCGACTCAAAAGTCACCTCTGCAGCAGCAGCATGTGTTCCTGGTACGTGTAATAAGTATCAATTGAGCTGTAGCATGTGGTATGTATGCAGCACGCGTACTTTGGGTGAGTATCGTGCAGCAGCAAGGTATGGAGGGTTGAGAATCCTCAAAAAGGGAGGATCAGGATGAGACCCACCGCCGACCCACCAGCCGTCAGAATAATGTCAGAAGACAAAGGGAGGATCAGGATGAGACCCGCAGCACGTTTGAACATGAACGTCTATTGAGGCGCCTCAAGACACGTGTGTGTAGTACATACATGCTATACATACATGCAGCAAGCAACACATGAGAGCATGTACGCAGTGTATATGCTCCATGCATGGTACCTACCAGGTGTGGCATGGCGATGCATGTAGCCTGTGTACCTCGCAATGCACCATAGCCTTGCGTACATATTGGTGCGACTTTTGAGAATTCTCAAAAGTCACCTGTAATATATATCCCACCCTACGATCATCCTGTTGTCACCCCTTTCAACGCCTTAGACCCCCCTCCGCTCCCTCCCCTCTGCCTGTCCCATCCATCCTCTTGCTTCCCACTCCGCAACCCCCTTACTCCCTGTGCAGTTTAGGGGAGCAGCAGCGCGCTCGGTGCTTCGAGCCATGGACCACTGCCACGGCAGGCGGCTGCTGGACGTGCGTGCATTCATTCATCCCCTTGTATCCACCCTGGCAGTTCAAGGGAGCAGCAGCAGGTGCATTCATCCACCCCGGCAGTTCAAGGGAGCAGCAGCGCTCGGTTCTTCGGGCCATGGACCACTGTCACGGCAGGCTGCTGCTTGACGTGCAGTCACCTCCCTCACTCACTTCCTCACTCCCCTCGCCTTCCTCACTCCCATGAACCGCCCTTAACCACCCCGGCAGTTCAAGGGAGCAGCTGCATGCTTTGTGCTTCGGGCCATGGACCACTCTCACGGCAGGCTGCTGCTGGACGTGCAATCACCCCCGCCTACCTCCCTCATTCCCCTCACCCTGCTCACCGCCCTTAACCGCCCTCAACCGCCCTGCAGTTCAAGGGAGCAGCAGCCCGGTCCATTCTTCGAGCCATGGACCACTGTCACGGCAAGCTGCTGCTGGACGTGCAGTCACCTCTCTCTGCTCCCCACCGCCGTCAGCAGCAGCAGCAGCAGCAGCAGCAGCAGCAGCAGCAGCAGCAGCAGCAGCAGCAGCAGCAGCAGCAGCAGCAGCAGCAGCAGCAGCAGCAGCAGCAGCAGCAGCAGCAGCGCCTGAAACAGCAGCAACAGCCAGAGGAACAGCAGCAGCAGCTGCGGAGGCTTGAGGCTGCTGAAGGCACCACCAGTTGCGTGCCCAGAGCCGTCCCTCCCCGCATGGACAGCGATCGCTGCTTCGCAGCATACCATGAGGCAGGGCATGCTCTTGTGGGGGCGCTGAGTCCGCTTGCTCGGGTGGGTGAAATAATGAGTGGGTGCAAGAGAGAGTGAGAGAGTGCGGTACGAATCCACCCTTATCCGCATAGACAGCGGTCGCTGCTTTGCGGCATACCATGAGGCTCTGAGTCCCCTTGCTCGAGTGAGTGAGAGTGAAGGAGTGAGTAAGTGGCGGCTTGAGGCTGTGGAAGGCACCTCTTGCGTGCCCAGATCTGTGGAAGGCACCTCTTGCATGCCCAGATCTGTGTGAGCCTGGCTCCATACTTTGGGCATGTTTTAGAGTTGACTCAAAAATAAGGGCGTGTTACATTTTTCATTGTTTTCGTCCGGACGGCCAAACGTCCGGACGATTGTGTGGTTACGAAACTCGTTAAATCTCGGCAGTGAGTTCGTCAGGGTCTAAACGACGTCGCTTTCTTCGTATTGCATCCTTACGACATCGTATTAGTCGCAACGTGACCGAGCGACGTCGCAATCTTCGCACGCGTCCGGACAGTCGTCCGGACTTTCAGCGACTTCGAAAAATGTAACACGCCCTAACCTCTTGCATGCCCAGATCTGTGGAAGGCACCTCTTGCATGCCCAGATCTGTGTGAGCCTGGCTCCATACTTTTTGCAAGGGTGAGAGCATTTCATTTCATCTCATCCCATGCCATGCCATGCCATGCCATGCCATGCCATCCCATCCCATCCCATCCCATCCCATCCCATCCCATCCCATCCCATCTCATCCCATCCCATCCCATCCCATCTCATCCCATCCCATCCCATCCCAACCCATCCCACCCCTTGCCACCCCGTTCCACCCCATACCTCCATCGGCCAATCAGGTGGAGGGGGTGTATCTGGAGGACAAGGGCCAATCAGCAGCGCCGGGAGGGCCCTACCGGCCAATCAAGTACTCGGGGGGAACGGACATCGTGTGGCGGGGGGAGATTGAGCCAATGCCGTTGCGACAAGTGGTTGTTCACGCCATGGCCGTGTGGCTGGCTGGCATGGTAAGGGTTGGCTTGAGGTGGCAGGCAGGCCTACAGATAGCACGCACGTACACACATGCATGCACCCACATACGCGTACACATGCAAGCATGCCAGCGTGCGACAAGTGGTTGACCTACGCCATGGCTGTGTGGCTAGCTGGCGACGAGTGGTGAGGGCACGTGCCCTGAGTGCCCAGCCAGGCACGTACATGTTAAGGCCTGGCTGTAGGCGGCATGTGCATAAGTAGCAGGCACATGCGCCGCGCGTACACATGCATGCATGCCGGCATGCGACAGGTGGTGGTTCATGCCATGGCTGTGTGGCTAGCTGGCATCGTGAGGAGTGGCCGGAAAGTGGCAGGCATATAGATAGGACACACTTACGCATATACATGCATGCATGCTGTGGTGACAAGTTGTGGTTCACACCACGGCTGTGTGGCTAGCTGGCATGGTGAGGAGTGGCTGCAAGTGGCAGGCATATGGATTTTTGAGACTTCTCAAAAGGCAGATGGATAGGCACGTACATGCATGACTGTATACACATTCGCAGCATGCCCCTGTGACTTTTGAAGCGACTCAAAATGTTACCGTTGGAGGAATCGTCTCCAAGCCTAGCGGCTTGTTCACAAATGTTTTGTATACAATGCGACACGTTGTCTTCTTTGCCCCACGTCCCTTGCGTTGAGAATTGGTTTGGGCATGCATGCATGCACTGGCAGAGCTTTAAAGCGTCGCAATAATTGTGTGCTTGCCTGAATTCGTTTCTTTTCTTTTATCCTTGCACTTCTATTCTCCCTATTTTACTGCTCGTTCAACTCCTTCATGCCTCAGCACTCGGCAATGTTTCTCCTCTCTCCTTCTCTCCACACCAGGCAGCAGAGGAGTTAATGTTTGGCCGAGTTGATTATTTCACTCGATCCGACGGCTGGTACTCATTCTCAGATGATCTTGCAAATGGTATGTACTTTTATTAGTTTCATTGTTGCATTTGCGTTGCATCTCCTGTTCCATCTTTGTTTCCCCCTCAACCCCCCTCCAATAGTTTCTCCCGCTTTTCTCCCCCTGTTCTCTTGCGAAACATTTTTCCTAAGCACCCCTACCCTACGCATCTTGCTTTCCCTCCTTTCCTCTCTCCTCTTCCCCCCGTCTCCTTGTCCCATCACATCTGCTCCGTTCCTGCGTCTGCGCTCTTTTGCCCTCCCATCTGCCCCCTTGCCCACGCCATCAGCTGCTGCGCTCGCCACGGCCTTTGCTCTCATCTGCCGCGCTCCAGAGGTGTGGGGTGCTGCACCCACCGCACCACAGGGGGAGGCGATACAGGCAGAGGCACCACAGGTGGGAAAGAATCAAGCAAGCAGTCAATCTGAAACCGAGTTCCAGCAACAACAGCAGCAGCAACAACAGCAACAGCATCAAGAACAGCTGCAGCAGCTGCTGCTGCAGAGTGCCATCCACACGCCGCGCATCACAGGCTGGCGTGTGCCCTCCTCCGCTGCCTTCCCTGACCTCTTTGGTGCAGGGCCGCAGGACCTCAGAGCCTGGCCTGAACATTCGGAGACGAGGGGTGGACAGGAGGGTCTGAGGGGAGGGATGGAGGAAGGACAAGCAGAAGCAGCAGCAGGAGCAGGAGTAGGAGAAACAGCAGGAGCAGCAGCAGCAGCGGCGGCAACAGTGAGACGAGTTGGGAGAGGCCTGGAGATGCCAGGGGCGGGAGCTCATGAGCAGAGGGTGCTGCAGGTGGTGCAGGAGGCAATGTCCCTCGCATCCTCCACTCTACGGCAGCATGAGAGTGCTCTGCACGCCATTGCATGGCGCCTTGTGGATGCTGGGGAGGCGAGTGAGGGCGAGATAGCTGCTTCTGTCGCTGGTGCTGTTGTTGCTGGTGCTGTTGATAACATGCAGCACGAGGCTGTAAATCAACCTGCAGCTGCTCCTGCTGCTGCGGCCGCAGGGTGAGGTGATTCCTCTCAGTTTGCCATAGGAGCGCAGGTGGTGCAGGAGCGAATGCCCCTCCAGCTGATCAAGAGGCTTGCAGGTCTGGTGAAGGTGTTGCCCGTTTCGTCTCTTCACTGAGTTGGTGCATTGCTTCGTCTCTGACTGAATCCTGCTCAGTTGTTCATGTAATTCATAACTTCACCCGTCCTGTCACTAGCAGAAACCCATTTTGCAAACCCATGTAGCAGAAGCATTGCTGGAGAAGCTGAAGTGAATACCTTATTGCGTGCATTTCAAATCAATACACTTTCTTCAAGAAATGCATTGGTAGCGGCAACTTACTAGAGGGTACACTGACCAGAATGGCGCACATACATAATCTGGAATCTAGCTGTTCAAGACAGAACCTCCTCACTCAACGTGGAGAGCGTCCACAGCCTCTGAGAGCGTCGATGGTGTCGATGACAGCCTTCACAGCCTCTACAGCCTCGGTAGCGTCGATAGCCTCGGTCGACGAACGAACCGGTAGTCTCGGCAACATGATGGCTTCGACAGCCTCGGCATTCGCTCTTCGGCCCAAACCAAATTCAGCTCTGCAGATCCCAAAGACGGTCATGCTGGACATGGTTAGTTAGGCACTGTTTGGTGGGCCCTGACTTCCGTCGGGTGACGATTTTTCACGAATGGCCTGGTGTCGGTTTCTCATAGCGGCAACCTTTTGCGAGGCACGCAGAGCATTCCGTGCGGAGGAGGGGACACCGGTACCCACGACGAGATTTGCGACGAGGTGGGTGATCGGGGTTTGCCCGTGTGAGATCTCTCTGGAGTGATGCTTCGTCGCCTGAGCTGTGATGCTTGTTCGACACCCAGGCTGTGTGATTCGAACGCAGCTTTGGCTCAATGAAAAGTCCAAGCCTGAAGCGTGAAATCGTGTGACGCAGACACCTCGTTCAGGAACCAGGGTCTGCATGCATGGATGATGGATCACGAGTCGTGATTGAGACTGTCAATGTGCATCGCATGGGATCATTCTGCAAGAACTGATCTTGTTCGATAGTCCGACGCATCCACACACCTCCAGGAGCCTCTCCCAGGTTCTTTTCGAGATGTAAGACCAGAATTTGTAAGCGTGGCTTTCCAGTTTCCTAGCTTGGGATCTTTTTTGTAGAAGACAAATTCGTGCTCTTGCCTGCCAGACGAATTCGTGCTCTAACCTTCAAAGTTTTCGTGCTCTTACCGCTCCGAGACATGAGCTCCTCAGACATTAGTTGTCTTCCTGATGATGTTCTGATAAGGATTTTCTGGCATTCAGACGTGACCATCCACAGGCCCGAAACCGCTGCTCGTTGGTCGATTTTTGTCCGAGATATTGATTTCTTTATGGCGGACCCTCTTCCGTATTCTCCTCCATCCGCCAATGTCGCTCATGTTCTCCTTATTGCTTCTGTCTGCCGTCGTTGGCGTCGCATCGCACGTCAATCCGTTACGAGCCTTCAAGTGTTGGAGAATTGTGCGGTTTCCCGCGAGGATCTCAAGCGCGTTATCGTGTCCTTCCCGGATCTCACTCACCTGCACTTGAGCGATAAGAGCATGGAAACTATTGATGACGATTTTCTGGCAGCTCTCGCATCTTCGTGTCCAAGGTTGACTTCTTTCTATGTGGGTACAGGCGTTGCTCCTGACGATTTCTTGAAGAAAAAATCACTGCACCCCATCACCGAAGATGGACTGGATTATTTCGTTCAACACTGCAGCCATCTGGAACAGCTCTCTCTTCACTGTCTGCATCACCAAACCAAGACTCCTAGCTCATTCTTCCGACTGACCTGTCTTCAGACGCTCAATCTGCATGATGCATCTGCGATTGGGAATGACAACTTTACGAATCTGTCCTCTCTTGTTGACATTAGGATTGAAGCCCCATATAGCGGTATGAAGCTTCGCCAGCTGACACCTTTGGCCCATCTTCCCAACCTCACCAGCGTTTACTTTCCTGCTGATAGCTTCCTTGACATGGATGAAGACGAAGAGGGTTTTTCATTCTCGCATTGGAGTTCAACGGAAATTATATCACTTTCAATGTGCTTTTCGCATCTGGATTGCCATGTGTGCATCTTGAACGCTTGTTGCTAAGCGTCTGTACAGATTTAGTTCTAAGAGGTGATTTTGGCAGGCTATTCCCATGCCTCCAAGAGCTCATGATTTTCGCGAGCCTCGATCTGACAGAGCTGCCAAGTTCACTCACTTCTCTCAGCTGCTTGGAGGTGCTCATTGTCGCCTGCTGCTACAGTTTAACCAGCCTGCCTGAGGACATTGGAAATTTGCCAAAGCTGAAAATCTTGGAGATTAGGGAGTTGCAATTATCAAGACTGCCTGATTCCCTTGGATTGCTCACAGGGCTGTGTGCACTGTCGATAATAGGGTGTTCTGCCATTGCCATTCTCCCAGATTCAATTTCCTGCATGATTTCTCTCAAGTCTCTAACAATCGAAGAAGTTGGCTTGACATCGTTTTCGGAGGAAATAAGCGAGCTGAAAAATCTCCAGACCTTGGTTCTGAGCAAGATGGAGGCGTTGCAGCAGCTCCCTTTGTCGTTTACTCAGCTTTCATCTCTGACGCGGCTCGAAATCAGCGAGGTTGGACTTATCAGTCTTCCACGGGGCATGGAGCAGCTTTCTTGCCTGCGGCATCTGATTCTGAGCCAGTGCAACGAGATGCTTGAGCTGCCCCAGTCCATCACTCAGCTGACCCGTCTTGAGACTCTCAAAGTGGAGAGGTGTGCCAAGCTTGCATCTACACCGAGGACCATGGAGAGCCTCTCACGCCTGCAGCAGCTGGAGCTGAAGGGATGTCTGCTTCGAGAAGCTCCATTGCATCTGCCTCATTCACTGAAGATCTTTAGTGTGGGCAATGACAGGGAGAGAATCATTCTCTCGGTTGTGCTGATGCCACCTGGTCTGAAGCAGCTGCACTTGAATAGGGTTATGCTGAGGGACGGGTTAGCCATCAGCAGCAGCCTCTCCCAGCTGGAGCATCTGGAGTTGCTTCTCGGTCCGGATCGAGAGAATGTCCCACTTCCACTGACCTTCCTCTCACGCCTCCGCACTTTACACATTTCACATGCTCCATGCCTGCGAAGGCTCCCAGGTAAAATAGGCTCAGCACTGCCTCAGCTGCGCCAGCTGCATGTGGAAGGAGCGAGCTATTTGAAGGGTGTACCAGACAGTGTGACGCGGCTGCTGCACCTCACCTCGCTTCATGTTGAAGCTCCAAAGTTGGCTCACCTTCCTGATGGGATTGGTGCACTGTCACATTTGCGGGAGCTGTGCCTGCGCAAGTGCTCTGCTATTAAACACCTTCCAGATTCCTTCAGTCACCTCTCCTGCCTGCATAAACTGGACCTTTATAAAATGCCGATATGCAACATCCCTTCCAGTTTCAGTCGATTGACAAGGCTGAGGGACTTGGATTTGGGAGGATGTCAATTGTTTAGAGTTCGCACACCACAAAAGGTGATGCGGGAGCTGTTGCAGCTGAAGCTACTGCGCAGTTTGCATATCAGCCATGGTATGTTGGATGATGAGTCCTTCAAAGTTGGAGAGGGCGCTGGCTTGAGTATTACATCATACCTATAATGTGAAGCTTCAGGCGAAGTCTTAAGGAGTTTCTGTAAGTCATCTTCATGCAATGTCTTAGATTTTGCTGTTTTCGCTTCGAACTGGCGCTGGTACATTGTGCTTTGAATCCGACACCATAAACTCGAGCTCCATCCAGGCACCATTCATCATCGAATCTGCCACTTCGAGGTACTGTTACCTCCTGCATTGCTACTATCTTCCTTGGGGATTGAAGTCATAGTTTGCTCCTGAAATTGCTGAAACCCCCAGAAACGGATGTCACATGTTTGGCAAGTTAGAAACATGTCTCAGTCAGCTTGTTCCACCACCACCACACCATCATCTCCTTTTCATTAAGCTGCACTCCCAAGTCACACAAGACCATATGCCATACTGTTTAATCAGAACTGTAACCGCCAAACCAGTGTGTATTGAACTTGGAAGAGTTGAATGACGAGGCGAGAAGAGAGGAGTGTCCAGCCCAAATGGCATGAGATTATTAGCAACAGATAAATGGAATGGCAAGTAATTATTTGAATGGCATGAGACAATCTGCATGATATGAGATGGGACCGCTGGCACGAAATAATTTGGATGGAATGCAATACTATGGATGGCAGATAAATAATTCGTGTTGTTATGGAATGCAATACTATGGAATGCAATACTATGGAATGCAATACTATGGACCACAAATAATTTGTGATGTTATGAAAGGCATGGAGATAGGATGGATTAGATTAGTGGGATGGATGGGGTGAAGTGGGATGGACGAAGTGGGATGGACGGGATGATAATAGTATGTATGCAAATGATAGTGTTAAATAGAGCACAAATGACAAAATACATGAGTTCTGGGGTAGACAAAGGTGCAACGCATCAAATGAAGTCTACAATCCCTTCCATGTGTGGCGCCTTGGCGATCTGTGCACTTACTTTCCCATGCACCTAGCATATGCATGAATTGAGACGCCTCAGGGTACTTTCGTTGCTCCTCTCTTCCTTACTCACACAAACCCCTCCTTTCCGTCAGCTGAATCCGATTAGTTCCAGCAACACCCTCCACATGTGATTCTCTGCTCCCTTCTTGCTCAAACCCCTCTCCTCCCCCATCCTGACTAATTGATCGCCAAACTCCTTCCTGTCAGCAGCAATCTTCTCACTTTCCTCATCCTCCTCCCTCCTCTCTTCTTCACCCCCATCTTTCTCTCCGTCTCACTTTCATCCCAATCATCAGACCCTTAATCCACCAGCAACATTCTCTTCAGCTGATTTCTCAGTCTTATTACCTCCCCTATTATGTTCACAGCACTACAGTATCTGGAGGCCGGTATACAGTTTATATGAAACTGAACAACTTTAATCAGTGGTAGCTGCCTTTTTCAGTAAACTCTTGCCTCTCTCACGCCTTCCTGTGCAGCCAAGGGGCCTGGGATAGTGGTGTCAAAGCATCTTCTCCTGCCATACATCCCGTTTTGTAGTGCATTTGCACATTTCCCTTTGCCTTGCCTCTCATACGCCTTCCTGTGCAGCCAAGGAGCCCGAGGCAGTGGTGCCAAAGAAGCTACTTTTCTGATTTGTCCCCTTCTGCCCTTTCCTCTGACTCTTCCGTCTTTGCTTTGCCTCTCACACGTCCCCTTTGCAGCAAATGAGCCTGAGCGAGTGGTGCCACTGCCAATTCAGCCTCTCCTGTCACACATTCCCATTTGCCTTGCCTTTCCACAATCTTATTTGCCTCGCCTCTCTCACGCCCTCCTGAGCAGCCAAGGAGCCTGAGCCAGTGGCGAATTTGAGTCGACCCAAGAGCCCGACTCAGTGGCGTCGAAGCAGAACACAACGCCAACACAACACTGGAGGGTGCTTGCTTCTTGCTATTTAACTTTTTTAATTCGAACTCGCCCACATTCATAATCATGCTGCTACCTTGAACCTTAAAAAGTGTCTGTGTTTGCCTAATGATGACTTCCGCCATGTCAATAACATCTCCATTGGTTGCTTACTACGCTTCATCGCTCACCTGTTGCGCATGTCTCTGGCCTGCTCCTCATGTCTCTCATGCTTCCTCATGCTTCCTCATGTGTCCCACATGTGTCTCATGCAGCCTGGTTCAACAGCATCTGCAGCAGCTGATGCAAGGTGGAACAAGCTGGTGGAACGAGGAGAGCAGATCAGTGTACGTTCTCTCATGCCAGCTGTCTCATGTCATTCATTCAACTTCATGCCACACATCCCATCTCATGCCATCCATGCCATATATTTCTGTACTGAGCACCGTACTTCCACATGCCTGCAGCTGCTCCTTTGGCTTCTGTTTTTTTCCCACTGTCCACCTGCCGACTATTCCGTTCCACAATTCTTTTCTCGCATATCGTATCATCTAAACTTCTCTCATGTTTGACGTCACCAGATGCATGGCAGAAACTGAACGACATGGCGGATGAGCTAGAGACGTATACAGCTGAGTTCAGTTCAGTGACTTGGCAGCGCAGCTCAAGAAGATGGGGAAGAAATGGTGGTGACATACCCCATATGAAGATGGTATACATGCCTTCACAGTTGTGTTGGAAGCGTTGCATTATACGAGATAATGTTCATTGAAGGGCCATACGCGCTTTGTTTAGTTAGTCACATGCAAACACTTCTTGTATATATATATTTTAGCCCCATTCAGTTCAGACGCCCTACATTAGGGTGCCAACACAAACGGAGCTTCAAACTAACCAGGAACCCAGCTCATAGTGAAGTGAGGAAGTACACTCGTAGAAAGTACACTTCCTGTTAGAAGCAGGAAGCCCTGAACACCCTAATGTTACATTCAAAATTATAGTATTGCATTATACATAGCGGCAAATTAGTAAAAGGGTACGGCCACCAGTATGATGCACATCGCGATTCGCAGCACATAGTTACGAGAGGGGTTGAATTTGAACTTCGAACAGTTATCCTATCGGCTCAGCACACGTGTCACTGACTTCTGAGTTCTTGGAGCTCGATGACTGGTATAGTAATTGCGAGGCAAATTCTCCCAATCCCGCCCGACCCAACCCAAAATGCGCCAGGAAGGATGGAAGGCAGGAGGTCGAAGCTTCTGGTTAATTATTTGAGACGAACCGCGAGGGTGACGGTTTGAATTTGAATTTTGAGAAGTTAGGACGCGTCATAACTGCAACACCGAACCTGTAAAAGATCGGTGCGAACAATGTACAGTGCTTCGCCGTTTCGGAACACCTATGTATCCCGTTTTCGTTTAGGCTGTCGCGAAGATCGTGCACACGGAGATTGTCGAGATCGGATGGCTCAAACTGCCACATCGATCATGCGATTGGCAGCGCGGGAATCGACATCGCGCCACCAGTGCCAGCCACGATCGATTGTCGTCGCATACTGCCAGCTACTTTCGATGTGGTAACAGTTCGACAATCACGATTTGTAAGTGGGCGACGCTCTGAATGAGCGCGTCGCGGATTCCAACCTCAAATCGAACCCATCAAAAACCAGCATGCGAAAATGCACGACACACCAACGAAGGTCGGCTCCTGCGCTACCAGCTGTGTATCTCAGTTGGCATGGAGGTCCCCAACTTGCAAACCCGGTCGTGTCCCAACTGGCTCGTGGAAGCAGCCAAGACTGCTCATGCAGATTGATATCCATTTTTCGTACGCGATGCACACTATTTCGGGTGTTCGGAGCCGATCCTCCCCCGGTGTTGCAATTGTGACGCGTCCTTACCTCTGACCTGAAGGTGGTGGAGCGCAGATCCGGCTGAAATGGGGTGTTTTGCTGACAGACAACCTTGATTCAGGTTTTGCTGACAGACAAACCTGACAGACCGCCTTGAGACCGTGGGGCATCTTTTGTGGTGGTCTTTGGGTTTTCAGCTCTGCAAGGACTGTTACTGTAGCTTGTTCTCTTTTGAGGGATGTTTATCGCTTTCTGCGCACACTTTCCGCGGATTCTCTTCTCAGGCGGGAGCATTATCGTTCAGACTAGGGACTCGGCTTCTCCGCAACTCACGCAAGAACTGTTTTCATTGTCCTCAATTTCGGGAGAGATCAACCCTAAATACGGGAAAGGGCATTGTTTTTAGGGTTGATGCCTCCCCGAGTCGTTCCCGTTCCGATTGGGTTTTAGATTATTTTTTGTCAGGGTGTAGTAATAAATATATTCCAGTAGTTACATCTAATTCCCGCTCGGGCGGAATCGTTTTAAGCGCATCAACCCTAAACACTGTACGACAAGGTATTCAGGGTTGATGCCTTTCCGTAGAGGAAATATTTTTTTAACCTGGGCAGAAACAACTAAATCCCTCTCGTGTGGAATTTATATAAGGGCATCAACCCTAAACACTATGCCACAGTGTGTTTAGGGTTGATGGCATTCCTTAGGGGGTTTATTGTTTAACCGGACAGGAATGTACATGGGTTGTTGTGAACTGTTTGTGGGAAACAGTGTGTGCGTGAGTTGCGGACGAGCTGAGTTTCTAGTTTGAATGATAATGCTCCCGCCTGAGAAGAGGATCCGCGGAAAGTGTGCGCAGAAAGAAATAAAGATCCCTCAAAAGAAAACAAGCTACAGTAACAGTTATTGCAAAGCTGAAAACCCGTAGTCTTCACTCGAGCCTAAATATGACGACTGTGGGTGGTGTTTTTTTCGCATGACAACCATGTTTCGCATGACAATCCTGGGTGGTGGCGTTTTGCTCCCGCCTAAATTTGGACTGCGAGACATACTGCTGCATGGTGGAGTTTCGTTTCCGCGTAAACAAAACAACCATGGGTCATGCTGTGTGGTGGTGTTTCGCTCCCGCCTAAATTTGATGATTGGGAGACATGCTGCACGGCGGTGTTTCTCCGGCGTAAATCTCCTCGTTTCCACAAATGATGTAGGAAGCTTCTTTCTGGTCGAACCCTTCGTTTCCATCTCGTCTGCGCGATCTCTTTGCAGCAGAACTGGCATGGCGTCTAACTATATAATGTCCTGTTACCTTGCTCCGCGAATGATTTGTTTCCTATCATAGGCTCTCAGGCTTACTGTTCGTGCTGAAAAGTCGTCGCAGGCTCTATAGCAGGTCAATCTGACAACATGAGCACTGCTACAAGCATCCGTCGTCTTCCTGATGGTGTTCTTATCAGGATCTTCTGGCATTCGGACGCATTCCGCCCAACCGCATCATTATCACTCAAAGATTACGCTGGTACTGGGGAAGATGTAGCTACAGGCCCAGACCCACATTTTTCGACCCAAATTTGATGATTGGGAGACATGATTGTAGCCTCTGCCAATGTCGCTCACGCTCTCCTCGTCGCCTCCGTCTGTCGTCACTGGCGCAAGCTCGCACACGAATCCGTCACAACGCTTCAAGTGCTAGAGGATCGATTCGTGTCTCGCCAGGATCTCAAACGCGTGTTGGCGTCCTTCCCGAATCTCACTCGCCTGCACTTGAGCGACGGAAGCATGGAAACGATTGACGACGATTTCCTGGCATTTCTCGGCTCTTCTTCTCCGAACCTAACGGCTCTTCATGTCGGCAAACGCATTGCTCCCTGTCACGGCAGCCGGCCTGGATATCCTCTTCCGCCGATGTCGCCGCTTGGAGCAGCTGTCACTCCAGTGCCTCCATCGAGCAACAAAGCTTCCGCCATCGTTTTTCCAGCTGACGCGCCTGCACACTCTGTCCCTTGGGGGAATATCGCCTCTCACAGACCTCAACTTCGCGAATCTGTCATCTCTCGCGAAGCTTTCGATTCAGAAGCGGGGCATGCTCTTACATCAGCTGTTGCCGTTAACTCGCATTCCGAACCTGACCAGCCTGTTTTTCCCAGGAAGGACATGGTTCCACAATTTCGAGGGAGATTTCTCATTCGATCAGCTGACAGCGCTTCGTTCGCTGGGATTCGTGCGGGCGGCAACGGACTTCAAAGACTGCTGCTGGCCCATGTTTCCGCCAACCTTACCGTGTTTCCGTCTTCAAAGACTGCTGCTGGCCCATGTTCAAATCGTGCCTGAAGAGGTTGGAAAGCGGTTTCCTGCACTTCGCGAACTCTGCATTTCGGAAAGCCCCTTCTTGACTGAGCTGCCGGATTCACTCACGAGCATCAGCACCTTGGAAGTTCTCACAATTTCCAACTGCGGAAGATCCAGACTGCCTGCTAATATTGGGAGATTCCCAAGGCTGAAGTCATTAATGCTGAGTATGTTGCCGCAGGAGACACTTCCCAATTCCGTTGGGTTACTCACAGGGCTTCAGAAGCTCTTCATCGACTGTATGGACATAGTCCCTGCAGCGATCTCCTCCTTGTCGGCTCTCGAATCGTTGACCATCAGGCAATCCAGACTGCCATCGAACCCAGAGGGGATAGGCGAGCTGACCAATCTCCGCACTTTGGTGCTCAAGTGCTGTGCCGAACTGCAGCAGCTGCCATCGTCACTCGGTCGTCTCTCCTCTCTAACACGACTCGATATCTACAAGTGTCCCATCGTTAACCTTCCGGAGGGTCTATGCCAGCTGGGTGAGCTGCGGGAGCTCACCTTGCGCTGCTGCTATGAGCTGACAAAGCTGCCGGACTTAATCACTCAGCTGATCTGCCTGGAAATGCTCAAGGTTCAAATGTGTACCAAGCTCTCGTCTGCACCTCAAGCCATGGGAAACCTCTCATGCCTGCGGGAGCTGGATCTGACAGGTTGTGTTCTCTTGAAGGAAAAGCTTGAATCTTTGCCTTGGACTCTGGAGACCTTGAGGTTGGGGAATGACACCAGCAGCATCACTCTTCCTGGCATGTCAACTGCTCCAAATCTCAAGGAGCTGCAGCTGATTAATGTCACTGTCATGGATGCAGCAGCGACCAGCCGTAGCCTCTCTGGGATCAAGAAACTGGAGTTGCGGCTGGGCGCTGAACAGAGAGAGATCCCGCTCCTGCTGGGGTTCCTTTCATGCCTTCGTGAGCTGCGCATCTCCAATGCCAAGTCCCTGCAACACCTGCCTCATGACATCGGGTCTCTGCCTCAGCTTCGGCAGCTGCATGTGGAAGGAGCCGAGACTTTGACGATGATTGCGGAAAGTTTGAGCTGGCTTGTGCAACTCACCTCCCTCCATATCGAAGCCCCTAATCTGACCCACCTTCCTGAGACCCTCTCTTCCTTGTCAAGATTGGGCGACCTCAGCCTTCAGAATTGCTCCTCCCTGACAGCCCTGCCCTGCTCTTTCACCGCCCTCACCTACCTGCACAAGTTGGACCTGAGCAAGACACCACTGCACGTCCTCCCTCCCAACTTCCACCGTTGGGGGAGACTTAGAGAGCTGGATCTGAGTGACTGTGAGCAGCTTCACTTTCTCCCACAAGAGCTGTGTTGCTTGACGATGCTGCGACACCTGGATCTTCGAGGCTGCGAAGTGCTAGGCTCAGATCGGGTGGTGGATGACTAGGTCAAACCAGCAGCTTCTAAGTTGTTTAAGGGGGCAGATTTGTATGGTAGTAAGAGTAACGTGCTAGGTAGCATAAGTCTTTGTAGATGCTGGGGAGATAGCACATGTACCTATTTACTGCATTCCTTGCATTTCAAGTTTGAAGCCTTGTTTGACTCTCTGAACACGGCAGGATGAATGAGGGTGAATCAGAGTCAGGGCACACCCCTTGGAGCCTTGTTGAGTTGACTCTCTGTACAGAGGTTGAGACTCTTCGTCATAGGTTTGGGCTTGGGCGGGCGACAAAAAGCCTTGTCGCCCGCCCAAATTCGGATATTCACCCATTTCAGCTGTCTCTGCTGCCACTTACAGTCCCACTCCAGCACACCCATCTCTCACATGACTCAGGCCACCCAACCACGTGATCACGCTCTAACCACTCACCCAGTCCTTCGTATCATCTCGCGTCATTCCGCCTTCCCATCTCCCTTCCCCCCCACATCCTCCCCCACCAGGGTTGACATTCATGCCTGGTATCTCATGCCACCCATCCCTCCAATCAGGGGATCGCGTGCTTGTGGACCTCCCTTCATAGCATCACACCGCATTCCGATGCATACGACCACGCTACAATCCTACGTGGGGTTACACTTACTTTCGCCGTTACAATCACGTACCGAGCCGCAGCGCACATGCCGCGGCTCTTGCACCCAAGAATTGACGCCGCCGCGAAGATCCGCGCCCAAGGCGGAGAGGCGGCTGTTCGACGGCGGAAAGAGTTCCCCGTCGTTTCTCGGATGGAGATCGCAGAGCTCGCGATTACTAGATGAGTCGCAGCCACAGTGTCGCAGCCGTCGCCGTCGCTGTCGCCGGGGAGAATGGCAGGCGGCTGCGACAGCAGGGGGCGGAGAGCGATCAGGAGCGGAAAGGGGAGGTGAGGGAAGGGGAAGGGGAGGGGGAGGGGGAAAGGCGGATGGCGGGTTAGGGTTGGCGCGGAGGGTTGTTGAGGAGCTTCCGGATGGGCGGAAGCACGAATTTGCTACAGTGCAGCACTGCGAGGACTTTTGGCTTATTGTGAGGCACCTGGTAAGGAGGCATTTGGTTGAAACGTACTCTGCTTGTCCACGCAAGTACCGAACTCATTCCCCTCGGTTCTCTTCCCCATCTCGCTTCAACTTTATTTTCCCATTGCTCTCCTCAATTCACCTCTGCTCCCCTCGACCCCCCTACTCCCCCCAATCACCCCTGCTTCCCTCAGTCCCCCCTTCTCCTCTCAATCCCCGCTGCCCCCCCCTCCCCCAATCCCCTCGCCTCCCCCCCATTCCCGCCCCCCCCTCTCGATCCCCCTGCCTCCCCCCCTGCCCCAGATGCCATTGGCGTTCCACACGCCTGCTCCAGGCGCAGGTGGCCCTTCAGGTGCCTCCTCAGGTGAAACGTCAGGTGCCACATCAGACAGCGACAACCTGAGGGTTACGGAGAGGCAGCAGGCGCTGAAGCTGAGGCTGCAACAGAAGCAGAGAGCAAGAGAAGGGGCAGGTGGGAAGACTAATAATGGTCATGGGGGAAAGAGTATGAAAGATGCTAATGAGAGCAGCAGAGGGGGTGGTGGGAAGATAGGCACGGGAGGTGGGGGTGATGGAAGGAGCAATGGGAGGAATGGGAGTCAAGTGAATCATGGTAGTGATGCTGCCAAGAAAAGATACGATTTTGTGCGGTATCCACTGATTCGGCTTATTCACCGCACCCGGGACTGCTCGCCTGTCACGGAGAAGCTTCTGGGCGGCGTGGGTTTGGACCTAGTGGCGGAAATGGCCGGCAAACTCACTGACAGCAAACTCACGGACGGCACTGGCAGCAGCGTCACAGCAGTGGCGGCTTCCCAGCTGGGGGCTCTGCATGACGTTATTTTCACTATTGAGGAACCTGCTGAGAAGCTTCCCGCTTCTGCGGCAGCTGTGGGGGGAGCAGTGGGGAAGATGATGGGGGGGAAGGTGGGGGAAGGGGTTGGGGGACTGGGGGGGGCATTGGGGGGAGCGTTGGGGGGGTTGATGGGGGGAAGGCGAGCTGTTCCTGCTGGTAAGTCAGTGCGGAGTAGAAGAGGAGGGGGGAATGGGGGTGACAGCAACAGTATCAGCAGCAGCAGTGGCAGCAGCGGCAGCAGCAGTACAGGTGGTGGCAGCAGCAGCAGCAGCTGGCGGAGCAAGGAGCTGGAGGGCATTCTTTGTCCTACTCATGGACCGCGCGTGTACGTGCTGTGCAACGCACGTGTGGTTCAGATGCCAAGGGAGCGAGTGGAGCAGCTCGAGACGTGCCCCTGCCTGCCGGAAATAGCCGTACCTGTCATGGTGAGTGCTGTACGTGTGATAAAAGTAACATTTTGAGACGTTTCAAAATGTTACTTGTATCATGGAGTAGCTGGATTTATGCCCCTGCCTGCCAGGGATTGCCGTACCTGTCATGGTGGGTGGGTGCTGTACGTGTGTGTGAGTGTGCTGTACTAGTGGGTGGGCGGGCGCATTGGTTGGTGGCGTGTGCAACGCATTGGGAGCGAGGGAGCGAGTGGAGCAGCTCGAGACGTGTCCCTGCCTGCCAGGGATCTCGCTCGCTGCCATGGTTTGTAATGGGTATGTGTGTGTGCGCTGCATGGCATGTCATGACGCGTCCGTGTGTTGTCCTTCACTCTCCTTTGTTCTCTCCTTCAGCAGAAGCTCCCTAGGTGAGTGACATAGCTCATTACGAGAAACCTCCCCCTCTTCCCTTCCCCCTCCCATCCCCCTCTTTCCCCCATCCGCTTTCTTTTTCCCCCTTTTCTCCCTTGCAACAGAGACCCCCCCTGGGTGCGTGTCATGGCTCAGGATGAGAACCAGCAACAGCACGTGTTCCTGGTGAGTACTTAGCTCAATGTGGGATTCTTTCGATAATTTTCAAAAGTTATTCCACGATGTTGAAAAGTATGTCAATCTGGTGACGTCAATCAGCAGAAGCATATGTCCCTCCCCGGTGGCATATGCCGCATGCTGATAGTGCGGTATGCATGTGGCATGCACTATCTCCACTCCACGCATGCAGGTTCCTCCGCACTTGCTTCCACCGACCCGCCTCTGCGTTTCCCATCCTGGTCCCGCCATCTCTGTATCGCCCCCCCCTCACCCCCACCATGCATGCAGTTCAAGGGAGCAGCAGCACGCTCTGCACTTCGAGCCACGAACCATTGCCACGGACGGCTACTGCTGTACGCGCAGTCGCCTTCTTACATACCTTAAACCCGAAACGCTAAACCATTAACTTGCTTCCGCTCTCAACCCCCTCTCCTTCCCACCTCTTCCTGTGCAGTTCAAGGGAGCAGCAGCCCGGTCCATTATTCGAGCCATAGACCACTGCCACGGCAGACTGCTGCTGGACGTGCACTCGCCCCCCTCTCCTCCCCACCGCCAACAGCAGCAGCAGAGTCTGAAACGACAGCAACAGCTAGGCGAGCAGCAACAGCAGCAGCAGCAGCTGTGGCGGCTAGAGGCTCCGCTTGTGTTTCCAGAGCTGCTCCTCCCCGCATGGACAGCGACCGGTGCTTTGCAGCGTACCATGAGGCGGGGCACGCGCTTGTGGGGGCACTGAGCCCGCTTGCTCGGGTGAGTGAGCGATTGTTTTTGTCCCTTTACGCATGGACAGCGATCGCTAATTTGCAGCGTACCATGAGGCGGGGCATGCGTTGGTGGGGACACTGAGTCCCCTGGCTCGGGTGAGCGACTTGAGTAAGAGAAAGAGGGAGTGAGTGAGTGATGAGTGTGCATACATGAATCCTTCCCCCTCCTCATGGACAGTGATTGCTGCTTTGCAGCGTACCATGAGGCGGGGCACGCGCTTGTTGTGGGGGCGTTGAGTCCTCTGGCCCGGGTGAGCAAGTGTGGGAGCAAGCAAGTCCATCAAGTCTGGGAGTGAGCGAGTGTGGGAGTGAGCGAGTCTGGGAGTGAGCGAGCGAGAGAAAGTGTGTACATCCACCATTGTGAGGCGCCTCATTAGCCCACTTGGTCGGCTTGCAAATCCCATCCCATCTCATCCCATCCCATCCCATCTCATCCCATCCCATCGCATCCCATCTCATCCCATCCCATCCCATCCCATCTCATCCCATCCCATCTCATCCCATCCCATCTCATCCCATCTCATCCCATCCCATCCCATCTCATCCCATCCCATCCCATCCCATCTCATCCCATCCCATCCCATCCCATCTCATCCCATCCCATCCCATCCCATCCCATCTCATCCCATCCCATCCCATCCCATCCCACCCATCCCATCCCATCCCATCCCATCCCATCCCATCCCATCCCATCCCATCCCATCCCATCCCATCCCATCCCATCCCATCCCATCCCATCCCGTCCCGTCCCATGCCATCCCATCCCATCCCATCCCATCCCATCCCGTTCCATCCTGTTCCATCCCATCCCATCCCATCCCATCCCATCCCGTTCCATCCTGTTCCATCCCATCCCATCCCATCCCATCCCATCCCATCCCATCCCATCCCATCCCATCCCATCCCATCCCATCCCATCCCATCCCATCCCATCCCATCCCATCCCATCCCATCCCATTCCATCCTACCCCATGCCCTTATCGGCCAATCAGGTGGAAGGAGTGTATCTGGAGGACGAGGGCCAATCAGCAGCACCGGGAGGGCCCTACCGGCCAGTCAAGTACACTGGAGGGACGGACATTGTGTGGCGGGGGGAGATTCAGCCAATGCCGTTGCGACAAGTGGTGGTTCACGCCATGGCCGTGTGGCTGGCTGGCATGGTAAGAGCTATGTGAACAGCAAGGCACAAACGTGATAAGGGCCTGCTGCATGTGGCAGGCATATAATTAGCACATTCACATTCACACACATGCAGGCATGCCGGCGTGTGACAATTGGTGGTTCATGCCATGGCTGTGTGGTTGGCTGGCATGGTAAGAGGCTTACGGTGTGCATGCTCATTCGCATACGCATACACATGCACATGCGCATATACATGCACATGCGCATACACATGCACATCCCCATGTCCGTGCCCATGCATATGCATATGGGCACATGGCCGTGCAATCTGAACTGCTACCAGAGGAACCTGATATGCACATGCAACCTGATCGTTCCCTTCGTCCTGCCTCTGCCTCTGCTACCAGAGGAACCTGCCCCTTCGTCCTGCCTCTGCTCTTCTGGCCTTACTCTTGCTTCCCATCCTGATCGCTTTTTCTTGCAGATCGTTTCTGAAAATTCTCAGAGGCGTCTTGTCTCTGCTCTGAGGTGTGTTTTGAGGCGCCTCAAAACACACCTCAATGCATCGTTTTTGAAAATTCTCAGAGGCGTCCTGTCTCTGCTCTTCTGGCATTGGCCATGCTTCCTGTCCCCGTCGTATCCCCTGTTTCCCGTCCCCATCGCCGCCAGGCAGCAGAGGAGCTGATATTTGGCCGGGTTGACTACTTCGCTCGATCCGACGGCTGGTATTCATTCTCAGATGACCTTGCAAATGGTATGTGTTCTTCTTGTGTGTGTTGAAGGTGAGGAGGGTTCTTTATTGTTGCATTGCCTCTCTTGTTCCATATTGGCTCTACCCCTCTCTTCTCCCCAAACCCCCCTTGGCCCCCAAGCATTTCCCAATTCTTTCCCCGCTTTTCTCCCACGTTTTTCTTGCAAAGTTATTCCATAAGCACCCAAACTCTCTTTCTTGTTCCTCTTTCCTTTCTTCCCTTTCCCCCTCTCCTCTCAACATCACATCTCCTCCTCACCTTCATCTGCCCTCGTTTCCCCTCCATTTTTCCCCTTGCCTACCCATTTTGAGCGGCGTCAGGAAACCTTTCCCGTCCCTCTCCTCTTCCCATCACACCTCTTCCTTCATCTGCCCTAGTTTCCTCTCCCTTCCCCCCTCATGCCCACGCCATCAGCTGCTGCGCTCGCCACGGCCTTTGCTCTCATCTGCCGGGCTCCAGAGGTGTGGGGTGCTGCACCCACCGCACCACAGGCAGGCACACCACAGGCAGGCACAACACAGGAGAGAGAGGATCAAGCAAGCAGTGAATCTGAAGCCGAGTTCCAACAGCAACAACAGCTGCTGCTGCAGAGTGCCATCCACACGCCGCGCATCACAGGCTGGCACGTGCCCTCCTCCGCTGCCTTCTCTGACCTCTTTGGTGCCGGGCCGCAGGACCTTAGAGCGTGGCCTGAACGCCTGGAGATGAGAGGTGGACAGGAAGGTCTGAGGGAAGGGGTGGAGGAAGGCAAAGCAGAAGCAGCAGCAGGAGCAGGAAAAATGGGAGGAGCAGCAGTAGCAGCGACAGCAGCAGTGAGAAGGGTTGGGAGAGGTTTAGAGATGCCTGGGGTGGCAGGTGTGCGGGAGGCAATGACCCTGGCATCCTCTACTCTCCGGCAACATGAGAGTGCTCTGCACGCCATTGCATGGCGCCTTGTGGATGCTGGGGAGGCGAGTGAAAGTGAGATCACCGCTGCTGCTGGTGGTAATGTTGTTGCTGGTGCAAATGTGAACACACAACACAAGGCTGTACATCCAGCTGCTGCAGGGTGAGACCCCTTTTAAACGGTGCTGCAGGTGGTGCGGGAGGCAATGGCCCTGGCGTGCTTTACTCTCCGGCAGCATGAGAGTGCTCTGCACGCCATTGTATGGCGCCTCGTGGATGCTGGGGAGGCGAGTGAGGGCAAGATCGCTGCTGCTGTTGCCAGTTGTAACAATGAATACAAGGCTGTAGTCCCATCTCCAGCGGCTGCTGCGGCTGCAGGGTGATTGCTCTTGGGTGTTGCGGCTGCAGGGTGTGTTATCGGGGAATGCAGGTGGTGCAGGAGGCAATGACCCTGGCGTGCTTTACTCTCCGGCAGCATGAGAGTGCCCTGCATGCCATTGCATGGCGCCTCGTGGACGCTGGGGAGGCAGATGAGAGTGAGATTTCCGCTGCTGTCGCTGGTGCTATCACTTCTGCTGCTGCTGGTGCCAGTGTGAACACACAACACAAGGCTGTACATCCAGCTGCTGCAGGGTGACTCCTTGAAGGCAATGTTGCAGGTGGTGCAGGAGGCAATGGCCCTCGCGTGCTGCACTCTCCGGCAGCATGAGAGTGCTCTGCATGCCATTGCATGGCGCCTTGTGGATGCTGGGGAGGCGAGTGAGAGTGAAATCGCTGCTGCTGTCACTTCTGCTGCTGCTGGTGCTGTTGATAACATGCAGCACGAGGCTGTAAATCAACCTGCAGGTGCTCCTGCTGCTGTGGCCGCAGGGTGAGGTGATTTCTCTCAGTGTGCCATTAGGGAGCGCAGGTGGTGCAGGAGCCAATGCCCCTCCAGCTGATCAAGAGGCTTGCAGGTGATCTCCTGCGTGCCATCGGGTGCTGCAGGTGGTGGCTGGTGTCCTGCAATCAGTTGTTCATGTTGGTAATACAGAACTTCACACTTCCTGTCTGTAGCAGAAACCCATTTCGCAAACACGTGTAGCAGAAGCATTGCTGGAGAAGTACACACTTGTATGGCGGTGAACTGAATACCCTAATGCGTGGATTTCAAATCAATACACTAGAAGTGGATTAATAGCGGCAACCTACTAGAGGGTACACTGACCAGAATGGCGCACATCCATAATCTGGAACCTGGCTATTCCAGCCAGACTTTCCACTCAACAACGTGGAGAGCGTCCACAGCCTCGAGAACGTCGATAGTGTCGATGACAGCCTTCACAGCCTCTACAGCCTCGGTAGCGTCGATAGCTTCGACATAACCAGTAGTCTTGGCAACATGGCTGCTTCGACAGCCTCGACAGCCTCGGCATTCGCTCTTCGGCCCAAACCAAATTCAGCTCTGCAGATCCCGTGCCTCGTATCCGCATCACATGTCATGCCACATGAACCGGTATCCGATCACGGTTTCGCCATCCGCATCGCCTTCAAAGTCAAATCGCAGCTGCAGACGGGCCCGGGGATATGGCTCATGCACGCTTACATGATGCACAGACCAGGAGTTCGGAAACTGACAGAGGAGGTGGAACGTCAAGTGGCGGAGAAGGGGGGGGGGCTTCGAGGTCCTCGTCTCTCGTCTGAACACTGGTCTCCGCGCATATGCTAAGGAGGAAAGCAAGCGGATCAGAGCAACAATCAATCATCTCGTCACAACGATCTCAGTTATGAAGCAAGCTTCCTTGTGCAACCCTAAAGATCAGCTGCTAAGGGAGAGGTTAAGAAAGCGAGAACGGCAGCTAAAGGAATATCACGCTTGCCGGAGGGAGAGAGCTTATACCATGGCTGGAATGGCGAAGGAACTCGTTGGCGAAGTCCCCTCGCCACATCTGTCAGCAAGAATCAAAGTGCGGAAAGCCAACACACAGATAGCGGAGCTAGCAGTGCCGGGCGGAACAGTGGCTGAACCAAAGCAAATCCTGGAAGCAGCTTCAGACTACTACCGGGGTCTCTTTGGTGTGGACAAAAGAACGGCGATTGGGGATTGGGTCCCGGCAGCAGGAAAAAGGCGGTGGTTCTCGGACGTGGAGTGCCTGCAAGTGGACTGGATAGAAGCAGAAGTGAAAAAAGCTCTCCGGGAGATGGCCTGCAACAAAACACCAGGGAAAGATGGCCTCCCAAAGGAATTTATTGAACAACACTGGGATGTACTGGGGAAGCATCTCATGGCGCTGGTGGAGAGCTTCACCGCCACTGCTTCGCTCCCGACCAGTGCCGTGACAATCCTTCTGCACAAAAAGGGGGCGAAGGACCAACTGGAAAACTATCGGCCAATCACCCTATTAAACGTCAGCTACAAGGTATTGGCGCGGGTACTGGCGAGCAGAATCAAGCGGGTACTGCACAAGGTGATTTCAGAGGAACAGTTTGGTTTCATACCGGGGAGGCGCGTCTCTGATGCGGTTGGGCTGGTGGCCGATGTTATCGACGCGGCTAAGAACGGCAGAGAGGACTGGTTCATGCTCCTGGTTGACTTTAAGAAGGCGTTTGACTCCATGTCTCGGAATTTCATCTTCGAGGTGCTGAAAAAGATGGGATTTCCAGATCGGTTCATCGGATGGGTGAAGGGGCTGCACGAGAACATACGCACGAACATGTTAGTTGATGGCTGGCTGGGCGAAGCGGTTGAAGTGGTATCTGGCGTCAGGCAAGGGTGTCCCCTTGCCCCTTACCTATTTCTGTGTGTGGTGGAGCTGTTGGCGCAGAAGGTGGAGGTATTACCCTCACCAGCTGCGTTGGGCAACGGCTCGCCTACATTGGCTACGCCGACGAGACCACCCTTCTGCTGCAAGGGAAGCAACAAATTGACAAGGCGGAGAAAATATTAGAGGAGTTTGAGAGTTTTTTGGGGCTGGCGACAAATAAGGCGAAGTCAGTGGTGCTACCTTTAGGCATTAACCTTGGGAAAACCACATGGCGTTCGAATGGCTTCCGGTGGGCTGGTGCTGATGAAGCAGAAAAACTCCTTGGAGTCTGGGTTACGCCGAGCGGTAGCTGTCAGCCGACGTGGGACAAGGCTCTGGAAATTAGCGTGTGAAAACTTCATGCGCTCCCCACTGGCGGAGACCGGAATCGATCGAAGCAGAGAAGAAGTAGCGCTGGAGAGGATTTTGTTTAACAAGCACATCCTCATTGGTGAGAAGAAGACCACACCAATCGGGGGGCAAAAGGCGGCCAAGCAGCTGCGAGACGTCAGATTGGGAGACCTGATAAAAAAGGACGCGGAGGGGAGAGGAGTACTGAAGGATCTCGCTGCCTTGGAAAAAGAAATACGGGGGAAAGAAGCTGCAAATCTTGTGCTCAAGGCCTTCACAGCAGCACCCGAACCATGGAGAGAGGTGCTTCTCTCAGCGGAGCCACCTCAAGTGGGTTTTGCGGAGGTGTACGAGGCTGGCAGAGCGGGCTCATGTCAGTTACGCGCAAAACTCCTGGTGAATGGGGAAGCTGCGCAGCTGAGAGACCTCAGATCCCGCTGGGGACACGGTAGCAGCGGACAGACCAGGCGGAGCAAATGGAAGAGCAGATGGGGCGGACACATAGACTGGAAGCGGGCAGATGAAACTCGGGAGTCGCTTGTCACCCCCAGCAGGCCAAGAGATGTTTTATTAAGAATCCACAGTTTGAACCTGCAAGTCGGAGTGAGGCTCACGTTTCTCAGTAACAGGCCGGTATGCCCCTACTGTGATAGTTTTGAGACGTTGGAACATTGTTTCTTCGAGTGCCCGAGGATTCAAACCGTGGTCGTGGCGGTGAAAAAGGCTCTGTGCATGATCAGCCCTACCAGGCGGACGGAGTCCCTCGGCGACTGGCTGTTCGGGAAGGCGGGGTCCACATCAGCATTCCCGGAGGCAACCCTGATAGCCACCGCCCTGAATGAGCTGTGGGTGGAGCGGTGTGAAGGCGCTTTCTGTGGCTGTAAATTCCGCGCAAGGCAGGTGTTGAGGAGGATTGAAACAGCCTTGCGCATACATGTGAACATTTACGCGCGAGCCTCGGTGAGGAAGTTGCAACAGAAGGGGAGGAAGCAGCATGCCAGATGGGAGATGATGACAAATCAGGAGCTCCTGGGGCCATTTTCAGGTGCAATCTCCTCTTGCTAGGAAATCTACTTATGTGCGATCCATGTTACTGTGCACATACGAACACTAAATTAATTGTAAGGAGTTTCTGTCGATAATTTCTTTACATCCGAGATCCCATTCAAAATAACACAAACAGTCTGAATCAAAGCCGATTTCGGATCACGCCAATCAAAATTCGAATGGTCACGTCATATTTCCCCAATTTCGACGACAATTTCTGCTTCGCATCAGGAGTTTTATAAAATAATTGTTTTGCGGGATCAGCTGTACTATTGCCGCAGGTGACGGAAGCTCCGGAGGGAAAACAACATTTTTTTCTTGGGCGTGCGCCCCGAAACACGAGAAAACTGTCCGGGTGATAACTGAGTTTGCCCTTATCGTAATAAATATCATGCTTGAATTTGTTTTTGCACTAGACGACGCTACTAGAAAATAAGAACTCTTTATGGTAATATATATATATATATATATATAATTTTCTTTCTGGTGGCGTCGTCTAGTGCGGTAACAAAATTCAGCTTGGTATTTATTACGGTGAGGGTAAACTTAATTATCACCCGGGCAGTCTTCTCTTGTTTCGGGGTGCACGCCCAAGAACGAAAATGCCGATTTGCCCTGCGCAGCTTCCGTCACATACGACAAATGTACAGCTGATCCAGCGTAAGTTTTTTTTCATAAAACTCTTTGGGCGAAGCAGAAATTGTCGTCGAAATTAGGGAATTATGGCGTCACCATTCGAATTTTTCTTGGCGTGATCCGAAATCGCTTGAATTCAGACTGTTTGTGTTATTTTGAATGGGATCTCGGATAAAAAAAAAGATTATCGACAGAAACTCCTTACAATGAATCTGGTGTTTGTATATGCACAGTAACATGGATCGCACATGAGTAGATTTCCTCGCAAGAGTAGATTGCACCTGAAAATGGCCCGAACCTCCTGAACCGTATCCGAGTAGTGGAGGGCAAGAGCTGGCGGTGGTCGAACAACTTCGCAGCAATTTGGGACATGCCTCACAAGCCACGGATCCACGTGTAAGGATCGGATTCTGTGAGGCAGGTCTTCCTGCTTCTCATGCACAGTTACGACTGTTTATGTGTTGTACACATCAGTATCGGTGTATAGCGCATATAAGCAAAAAAAAAAAAGAAAAAAAAAAGAAGAAGAAAAAAAGAATTTCGCTCCCACGCAAAAATGACAAATGCGGCTGCGTTCTGCAGGCGCATCAGCCCGGATGGTTGCAGTAAAACATGGTTCCTGGATTCTTCCTTGATAATCTCTCACAGGTTATCGAGGCTCGCGATAAGTGTGAATAGTTAGAACGAGAATGATGAACTAGGAAATGAGTTGGGTACAAATATGAAACCCTAGAAAGTTGTACCCCATACTGTCTACCCCACTACAGCCTAGAAAGACTATAGCATATAAGTTCGACACACCCCCATAGGCAAAGTGGGGGAGAACAAGGGGTCACAAGACCAGTCAAGCAAAGCACAGCAAGCTCAGGGTGGATCCCAACGTCACCACACATTCTGAGCGCAAGTTCAAGGGCCACAAGGCCAGTTCACATGCAAGCATATATATATATATAAAGCTAAACATGCAAGTGCAAGGATATATAGGTCACAGTACAAGCAAGGTCAAGAAGTGAGCAAGTGAGGCAAAGTAGGTACAAGACCTAACAGAGTACAGAAGC